GTATCGTAGTTGTTAGAATTTTTTAAGATTATTTATGTATTTATTTATTTGACATAGAGAGAGCACAAGTAGGGGGAGGGGGAGCAGCAGGCAGAGGGAGAGGGAGAAGCAGGCTCCCCACCGAGAAGGGACCCCGACACAGGGCTCGATCCCAGTACCCTGGGATCATGAATTGAGCCGAAGGCAGATGTCTAACCGACTGTGCCACCCAGGCGCCCCTAGTTGCTGGAATTCTTTAAAAGTTTTGGAAATCCAATGGTATCTAGTTTAAATGATCATTTGTGAGGCTGATCATCTTTTCCTGTAAGTAATGAGAATTTTCAGTGAAGCAACAGTTTATTTCTTTTGCTAATTTTTGACTTTTTAAAAATTCCTTGAAGCTACCTGTATATTAAAGCCTATCAATTAACTTTCTATATGGGGTCCTTTATCATGCTTACTGACTACTGAAGCCAAGGGTATTTATTAGATAGTTGTAGAGTATAAAGAAAAACCAATAAAGCAAACACCCATTTCATTTATTCCCCCCAACCCTCACCACAATTTATGCTTACAAAGTCCCCAGTACGTCTTTCCCCATTTCAGTTCCTGGACACTCCCCACCAAGCAACTGATTTTTGTCATTCCCACCTAAACCTTAACATTTTGTTTGTATAAGTAATTCACTAATTTTTTTAGCACTATCTAAATAGAATCATAGGGATTCTTCTGCAATTTAGTTTATTCTCTCAATGTCTTGTTCCAGAGATTCACCCCTGTTGTTATGTTTCAGTGTTCATCATATGAATATACTACTGCACAGATTCATCATATGAATACACTACACAATTCATTTAACTATTCTACTAGTGATTATTCCAGTAGTTATCAGTTTTTAGGTTTTCCCAGATTTTTTTTTTTTTTTAAATCACACAGTAGGGCTGCTATGAATACTCTTGTACATGATTCTCAGTAGGCAAGTGTAGGACCTGGTTGGGTCATAGTGCATGCACACTTTAAACCTTACTAGATCAATGCCAAATTGTTTCCAAAGAGCTTGCCCCAATTTACACTTCTACTTTCTACACAATGAAAACTCTTCAATCTCTGGTTGTTTCACATAGTTTCCAGCATTTGGTAACATCAGACTTTAATATTTATGGCAATCTGGTAGGTATAAAATGGTATCTCATCTGGTTTATCTCATACTTTCTCGATTACTAATGTAGTTGAACACCTTTCATAAATATTTTGGCCTTTTGGTTTTCATTTTCTATGAAGTGCCTGTTCAGGACATTATATATTATCTCCTGTATTATCTGTCTTTTCCAAGTGATTTATACAAGTTATTTACATAATCTGAATGCTAACTCTACATTAGTTACACAGGCAGTAAATATCTTCTCCACTTTTGTGGGATTCTTTGTGTGTTTGAGAAATAGAAGTTCCTAATTTTAATATCATCTGATGTTATTAATCTTTTCTTTATGGTTTTTTTCTTTGTGTCTTAAGAAATCCTTCTCTACCCTGAAGTCACAAAAATACTCTATAGAGTCTTTTTTAAAAGTTTAATAGTTTGTATTTTCCAGTTAAGTCTTAAATTCACCTTGAATGGACTGTTTTGCAAGGTATGGGGGGGGTCTAATATAATTTTTTAAAATAGGGATAACCAGTTGTCCCAGAATAACTTGTAAAAAACTCTATTCTTTCTCCACTGATCGACCCATACAGCTGTCATAAAATAAGACATATATATATTTTAGTCTCAGGTATTCCTGGCCTTTTTTCCATTCTTATAAACTTAGGATCAGCTTATCAAGCTCCACAAAATGTCTGTTGTATCAAATCTTTAGATCAGTATAGACAAAAATGACATTTCTTTCTGCCATTCAGTTTTCTCAAAAGATAAAGAATTTTTACAGTGAACAAATGTATATCCACTGCCTATATTCCTACAATTTCCATTTTACTACATTTGCTTTATCATACAGCCATCCCTCTAGTCATCCATTAATCCATTAATTTTCAAATGCATTTCAAAGTAAGTTGCAGACACTTCACCCTTACACACAAGAAGATATTGATTTTATATATTTATTGTATATCTGGCCACTCAATCTTCTAGATGAATAGTCATATAATCTTTATATAAAGATACTTTTGTCTTTTCTGTTTCAAATTTATACTTATTTTTGATGTTATCTTCCTGCAATTAGAAAATTCTCAAAAACAGACTTGAAAACCGTGATGGTAGTTGGCATTCATGTCAACTTATTCCTAATTTTTGTGCAAATGGCTTAAAATTCACTATTTAGTGGTTGACTGCTGGTAAGTAACCAATCATATTCAGAAAAATTTTTTTAATTCCATTTTACTTTAACAAGTTTTTACTGAAAATGTCTGAAGAATTACACCAAATGCCTCTCGACTTCCATTAATATTATAACACTTCACCTTTCCTTTGTTGATATGATGATTTATATTGTTAGAATTTCTAATGTTGAACTATTCTTACATTTTCAGAATCAATGCTACCTGATTATGGAATATAATTAACTTGCACTCCTGGATTCAACTCATTAGCATCATATTTAAAATGAATCTACATGCATAAGATTTCCTTTTTCCACACAGTCTTTACCAGTTTTTAGGACTCTAGCTACTTAAATAAATGAGAAACACCGGACCCGGAATAACTAGCATAAAATAGAGCCTATTTTTTTTTTTTTTTTTTTTTTAATAGCTTAGGTGGAATTCACTTATGAAACCACCTGGCTCTGGTGATTTTCTAAATGGAAGCGTTTATAAAAACACATTTCATATTTCTGTGATTATTGGTTTCTCCAAGTTTTCCTCTTAGACAATTTGAACAGACTAATTTTGTAGGGAACTCCACTTCCTTTAGAATTTTAAATCTACTGAGTTCACATACTATCTTTAAACAAAAATAATTCTGGGGCGCCTGGGTGGCTCAGTCGTTAAGCCTCTGCCTTCAGCTCAGGTCATGATTCCGGGGTCCTGGGATCGAGCCCCGCATAGGGCTCCCTGCTCCGCGGGAAGCCTGCTTCTCCCTCTCCCACTCCCCCTGCTTGTCTCTCTCTATCTCTCGCTATCTCTCTCTCTGTCAAATAAATAAAATCTTTAAAAAATAAAAAAATTAATTAATTAAAAAAATAATTCTTTTAATCTCTGTATCTCCTTTCTTATTTCCCATGCTTCTTTTTTTGGTCTGTGTCTCTATTTTTTTCTTAATGTGTCCTCCCAAGGGGCTATTCAGTTTCAGCCAGAATAATTTGCACACTTTTACTACATTTTTTTGTGGGGAGAGAGGAATTAAGAATAGGTTTTTCATTTCAATAAAAATTAAATTCAGCTTATATCTCTTACCTGCTCCTTTCTATTTTCTGCTTTTTCCTCCTGCCTTTTATAATGAACATTTATTTTCTTTATTTTCAGTCTTTATTTTTAATAATAAAGTAATTTGAAGCTATACATTTTTCCCTTGAGTACAATATACTGACTACCAATTCAACTTTTGAAAATGTGATCTAAAGAAATGAAAGTGTCAGTATATAAGAATATACAAATGCTTGTTACAACTTCTTTCACAGGGGTAAGCAAACAAGCAATATACAAAAAGAAATCTACTAGAATATAGCCTCAATGTCCACCAATATTAGAATAATTGCCTCAGTTATATGATATGCTCACTAGATAAGATTCTCTTATCATTTAAATTTGTGTATATTGCCTTAGAGGGATGTCCATAAAATATTATGTAGAAAACAAAACTGCAAAGTCATGTTACTTGTACAATTCATTTTTGTAAAAAATGTATACAAAACAAAACACAAACATACCAAAAAGTGTTCTTCTTTTTACATCTACACACACACACACATACACGCATGTGCACATGCATGCACATACACCTAATATATACTCATGTGTATTTCAGATGTGAAAGATAATATAAACAAATTTACTTGATTACTATGAAGGGACACATCAGACATAGTAGGAAAAGAATGAACCTAATCTTTATACATCTCTGTATCATTCAACTTGTTTAATGAGAATTTATCACTTCTATAAATTAAAATGACAAAAGTCTATTGACATGACTACTAAATTTTGGTGTTAATTCTAGGAGCTTATTTTAAAATTTAATTGATTAATCTCTGTATTATCTTTATCATAGATTTCCCATTTTTGCAATATATCATTACTGTGAAAATTTCTTCTAAATAAAAACCAATTAATGGTTTAAAACTTACACTGCTAGATAGCAGGAGGGGAAGAATGAAGGGGAGTAAGTCGGAGGGGGAGACGGACCATTAGAGACGATGGACTCTGAAAAACAAACTGAGGGTTCTAGAGGGGAGGGGGTTGGGGGGATGGGTTAGCCTGGTGATGGGTATTAAAGAGGGCACATTCTGCGTGGAGCACTGGGTGTTATGCACAAACAATGAATCATGGAGCACTACATCAAAAACTAATGATGTAATGTATGGTGATTAACATAACAATAAAAAATTATTAAAAAAAACGTACACTGCTTTCATCTTCATACACACACACGTATCTATGTATATGTGTGTATGCAATGCATTTTTACAGATATTATATTCATACATATTTTTACATATATATTATATACACTTTTTTTTCTTTTCCCAATGTGAGTATGTTAAAGTGTTTATTGAAACTCTGGGCTGCTATTCTACAAAATCTCTAGTAGGGCCTCCTGAAGAATTTCCTTCAATAGTAATAAACTTGTGGACAGCTGAAGAAGTAAAAATACTAACCTGGTAGGGAAAGATAGATAGACAGACAGATAAATGGGAGAGGCATGTGCTCTTATCCCACAACATAAAAAGGAAGCAATACTAATTATTAGGTGTGAGAAGACAAAGGACTTATGACTATGACAGAAAAAGCTGTTCTTAATATTGCACAAATCAAGGAGTTAGTGAAATTAAACAAAACAAAAGCAAAACAACAATAAAAATCAACAGTACCTTTTTCTTGTGATATTTTCTTGGTGGCGACTTGATGGTGGCATGGAGATTCTTCCATATCATGATCAGATTTTGAAGGAGAGGAGAGTGAAGTGTCTCCCCAAATAAGAGAGGAAGGCTCTTTTTCCAGGCACAGTGGTCCCTCTTGAAATTCAGCTATGTGGTCAGACGAGAAGGGCACACTGCCAGCCACTGGAGTGAGGGATGGAGCACCAGAATCTGATTCTGGAGAAGTTCTCAAACCCTTGGGCAGAAGTGATTTAGTAATGTGTGTGTGGTTATAGAAACTGTTTGAAGGCTGTTGGTATAAGAGATTATAAAGGAGGTTATGCCGCTGAGCATCAGCTCCGTGGAATACTTACTTTGAAATCAGACCAAACTTTTTTTTAGTAAATCCCTTGAAAACCAGTTTTTTGGGGGGTTTACAGATGAGACTGCATAGTTTACAACAATTCACCTTATTACCACTGTAGCTAAGACAGACACCTAAGACATACAGAAACAATTACTTGTACATTCCTTATTTCCCACTAGGTAAAACCAACAGCTGAATATAAAAGCACCATTATGAAATACGACAATATGGATAATACTCTTGGGTTAGTTCATTGAATGAGTACAGAAATAAGCTGAATTACAATATATCGAGTTGAGTAAGAATTTAGGAGACAAAGCAGTGAACTATTCCAGCTGTTTCCATCTAGGGCATAGAATCTGGCTGCAGAAAAATCATCTTCAATAAGCTGTAGGAACAAGGAGACAGCTCTACACTGCAAGTCAGAAATCAGTCAATGGGGCTCACCTTTCGCTCCAGACTGTCTTCTCCATCTGTTGAACTGACACTATCATAGAGTCTTGTCCTAGAGGGCCTCTGGCGTCTGTTCTTCACAGAGAGCTGGGCTCGGGTTTTCAGTGCTTTTGAATCCAGGCGCTCTGTCTCTGGGACGGCCTCATTCAAGTCTAAGAAAAGAATGAAGCAAAATCGGCGAGAGAAACCTTTGGAGAGGATCGTCAAAGAGACCACAGACACTGATAACAAAAATCTCAAGGTTATCAATAATTCCAGGCAAAAAATAGGTGACAACCATGCTGGTCTGTCTGATACCCCACAGGTAACCAAGAAATCAAGTGAGATTTAGGAGAAATGTACAAAGCCTAGTGGAAGAAACCAACACCAAAGGTGACCAAGGCAACAAAAAAAAATCTAACATCCAAAGAGCCAGCGTGGTCCTCTGTGGTCTGCCGCTCACTACCTTTAATCTTGCTGCACTGAGTCCAAGTCAGAACTCCCAAGTCACCATTCCAAAGGGGAGAAGGAAAGGTTACCCATCGATCTATGTAGGCGTTGGCTGAGGAAAATTTGTTCTCTGGTTGAATTTATCTGGAATGCTTCTGGCTCCTTAGAAAGAATGTAGTTTGACCATCAATCCTATTTTATCTTTTCAGAGTGGCAGTCATTAAATGGAGTCATAATGTTCACAGAATCAATAATTAATTGCTTCCGGATTTAAAGTGTTAAAAATAAAGCATATAACTGAGTTGCAGAAAATTAATATGTACTGGTATTAATGGAGTAAAACAATTTCTTACAGTAGCATTACTGGAGGAAATTCCTTTTCACAGTATTATTATGAAGGTGTGCTCTAAATATATTGTAAGACCAAAACAAGGAAGCATCCCAGGCTGTGTCTCTCTTACCCATGGAACTCTGCATTTGGCATATGGTTCTAACAAATTATATTAGACATATTTTCCCTAGGAGATACATCCACTGAATGACAATATTTAGAGAAGGTTCTGACTCTTCATTTCCTGTATTTGCAAGAAAAATGAATAGTCAGAAAAGTCAGACTATTCAGGTATTTATAAAGGACAGCTAAATATTTTCTAATTAGTGCTCTCTTTATTGTTTACATGTCAATGGGGAAAAATAATTTCCTTGATCACTTTAATTTCTTCCTTTCAATAAAATCTAAACTTGCAGCTGCCGATTAAGAGTTCATTAGTTGTGATAATTGGGAGATAATCAACCTTACAAGCTCTTGTTTACATATAAAATGTGGGAACACCACACAGATGAAAGCAATAATATAATTAGATAGACTGTCATACAAGCCCGTTTCACAGTTTATCTATCTTGTATTTGGATTGTATCTTCTGTAACACAAAGCACGGTCACACACACACACACACACACACACACACACACACACACACACACACCCCACCTCATGTGTTCCTCATAACCCCACGCTACAGAGCTGCCAAGTTATGTTTTACCCTCTCCTGAAGTTCAGAGAACTTGAGGAACTTGCCCTGGTCGGCACAGCTGGCTGATGAGCTGCCATGATTTTTCTTGTTTTTTGACACGCGGGCTACTAGTCTGTGCCCTCCAAATTTAGCTAGGGTTGAACAAGTTACTAGAAAGAGAATTTTCCTGCCATTACAGTTCAGTATTTTTGGTTGTAAAATCACATATAATGTGACTAATCTAGGAAATTCATTTCTCCAATTGGCTACATATGAAATATTCTTATTAAACTTCCACATACGTGTTAAGAAAGCATAAAAAGGAAGACATGTTGAAAACTGCAGAAAAAATTATTTCTGAGATTTCTTATTTGGTTGGTTTATAACAGCTTTGGTTACTTGGTGATGAGAAGACCAAGGAGGAAGCTTGTTCTACTTTTGTAAACATGGCTCCTTTTGCAATAGAAGCCTGGCCCAGGAGGACCTAACATAGCACCCAACATCCAGGATTGCAGTAACTACTCCATCACTAGGTACTGAATAAATAAAGTAAGGGAACACGAGAGCTACTTATTAGCAGGGTTTAGAGTGTGGAGAATTTATTCTGGGACTTCTGGCTCCGTTAACTACTCAGTAATTTGCCTGGTACTCATATCAAACAACCCCCAAAGCAATCTAGAATATCTGCTTTAATATCAGCTAGCACTGAGTAAGTGCAAACTGCTGGAGCACAAATACAGAATTACATCTATTAAAGATGAAGTTAGCTGGAAAAGCAGTGCCTTAAGTCCATTATCCAAGTGGCCAGCAACACACTGCAACCAATTAACAATTTTTGAGGACCCGAAAGCAAAGTTCTCGGGGTCCTTTTATAGAAGTGATTCATGAATTACAAATCAGCAATTTATATATTCCACCCTGAGAACAAATGTTTTTTAAGTAAATCACCAGAAAAATGGAATGGAGCGGAGAACTTTACTTTGCAACAGCAGGAAATTGGAAGGAAAGCCGTCCACAGGAAGCTACTACTGAAGACACCACAAGCTCCATCCCCCTTAGGAGTGTTAGAGGACGCATATGGCAGAGAAGGAAAATGTGCATAGGACTTAGGTGGTTGGGGAACCAGAGGCTATCTTTCTCTATCACGTTGTATAAGAATCAGAATATTACAACTCAAAAGAACCTTCGGGATTCTATCCCAGCCTTCTTTTCCAGATAGGAAAAACAAGGCTCAAAGAGGATTACTAACTTGTTTACTAGCTGCATCACACAGTTAATCTGTGGATGAGACTGGAGAGAGCTCAGTCCTCAGAAGTCTATCATCTGGGGGCGCCTGGGTGGCTCAGCTGGTTCATCTTCAGACTCTTGATTTCGCCTCAGGTCATGATCTCAGGGTCCTGGGATCCAGCCCTGTGCCAGGCTCTGCGCTCAGCACAGAGTCTGCTTGTCCCTCTCCCTCTGCTCCTCCCCCTGCTCTCTCTCTCTTTCAAATAAAAAAAAAAAAAAAAAAAAAAACTTTTTTAAAAAAAGCACTTACTATCCTTCTGGAAGGTCACTCTCAAGTCTGAAAGTAAGCTTCACAAGTAATCTTTTGCCTTCGTCAAGTCTTTGTTTTAGTTTTACTTTATGTTCCAAACAAAAACACAGGTCAGGTACTAACTTTGCACATTTCCAGAAGTATACAGTATCGAAGAAAGAAAAAAACCTGAGGGATTTTATTTGGTTTTATATTTATCCAAGGAGTAAAATTCTTACATCAAAAAATTAGCTGTCAGTTTTGAGGATGACAATGTGGCAGAAGAAATCCAACTGGCTCCACATTGCTAAGTTATATGCTACCGAATGTAAGGGCTTCGGTGGCCATGTTCTCTCACTGTCATCACTCTCTGCAGAGACCTTAGTCAATAACCTAACACCACCTTTATAAACCCAAGACGCTGGGTTCTTCTACCGCTTCTCCTCAGGCTATCGTGTTCTGCTGTCTGTAAGAATCAGAGGGAAATTTCCTTTTCATCTCTCCTTTCCTTCTCTCCTTTTTTTCAGACCCTCCAGTCTCTGAAAAAAGCCTACCTCTGACTCAAATGCAGCTAGAAACACAAAAGATGAGCAGACTCCAGTAGACTGATAAATACAGACAGACAAACACATGAAGTGGTTGAGGACAGAGTGGTGTTGCGTGGGTGGGACTCCACCCTAGTGTACCTGCATTTGAAGACTAGCTTCAATAGTGCCTCGAACTGCATCCTTTAAAAAAAATTAATGGATTCGATTATGATTTTAGCAGCTGTTATGAAAAATGTTCTGTGAAATTAGGATGTTATATATCCTATTACACAGCAGCCAGTTCCCTACAGTAATGCTGTGAGTCACTCAGTATTTTCACTAGATTGACGTTATTTTTGACGCAAACGGACTGGGGCCCACAGATCAGATAGAGATGGCAAGGGAAGGAGGGGAATGGAGCAGCAGGACGACGGGGGCTGCTCTGCATTCTTACGGGCATTATTCTCCTCAAAACCAGTCCTACCTCTATCATCTCACTTATGCTATTATCAACTACAATGCTGAGCATTATGAGACACTTGGTGGCATTTTAAAACTTGAACAGTAGCTGCATATCACTCACAGTCACTGCAAGTTCACAGAAGGTGGGCCCGTGGGTTTGCGGTTGATACGTCCCACGTGCAGACGTTGGTTTATGTATATCGAAGAGGTGGTTTAAAACAGTTACCATGAGAGTGATCTGGAGTAAGTCTTCCTCAAACAAAATCCAGATAGTGGCTCCACCATTAAATTGGGCAATTTCCCTAACCTCTCCGTCCCTCAGGATCCTCAACTGCAAAATGGGCACAATGATAACACAGCACTAATAACTGCGTTGCTGTGAGGACCAAATGCATTAATAGAAATACAATGCTTGGAAGAGTGACTGTGACATAAGCACCCAATGAATGTATTTATTGATGTGGAAAGGTTAGCAAGATATTCTTACACGACTAAAGCAAGTTGCAGAACGATATGTACATTCATTTTAAATATTTTAAAAAGAGCAACATAAAATATATTTTCTAATGATAAATTGATGCCTATGATTTAAGGAGAAAGATACTGACGATGGTGGTTACCTCCAAAGAAGATATTAGATTTGGAGATCTTGGCCAACAGGTACTTTAAACTTACTTTTAATGTTAAATATTTTTGTATTATATGTATTTTTTTGCATTTAATATATTACTTATATGTTTAAAATTAGTAAAAAACAAAACAACAACCCACATATTCAGTACATTTTCTTTTACAGACATCTTAATTCCATTCTAATCCGAGAGCTCTGGTGTTTTCGGACTCAGGATTCCCAGATGTTGATGATATTAGTCCAGGAAACTTTGTCCAAATCCTTGCGACTATCTCACTGCCCCATGTGAGAAGGCTGCTCTTTCAATTAGGTCCATGGAGACTGTTTGCCTGCCTTGCTACTCCACTAATGGCCAGATGATCTGGCTTGATTAGGGCCCTATGGCTTAGCTTCCAGTCACTACTTTGTTTTAGCATGGCACGGCCAAGATGTATTGACTCGGATACGGTAATTTGAGACCAAGTTACACAACTTCATCTCATCTCATGACAGCACTTTACTTAAGAACCCACCCGCAGGCAACTCTCACCCTGAACTCTATTAATTTAGTTGCTTTCCTTATAATTGCCTAAAA